CACTCATAACTCCAAAATTACCATACGAAGCTATCAACATTATCAAAATTCCATTCCGGAGTCGTTTACTCAAAAGTCAAACTTTAGAAATTCAAGCTTTATAAAATAAGGATTGTTCTTCTAATTAAATTCTAAATATTCTAAATACCCGCGGATCATAATACATATTAAGAAGTTGATCGAACTTTCGAAATCCAAATTGGGACGTAGTATCAACCAAAATCCAATTATGGCTAAATTTAATAATTCTTTAAATCTTTAAATTTCTAGTTTCCATCAAATAGCGATAATTCAAGCTAGGGACTTCCAAATTTTATTTCGGGCATACGCCCAAGTCCCAAATCACGATACGGACCCACCGGAACTGTCAAAACACTAATCCGGATCTGTTTGCTCAAAACATTAACCGAAGTCAACTCAAATGAGTTTTAAAGGTAATATTTCATATTTTCTTTGGTTTTTCACATAAAATTTTTCGGAAAAAGATACGGATTGCTCACACAAATCGAGGAAGGATGAATGGAGCTATTCAAGGTCTCAGAATACATAAATAAATATTAAAATTAAAAATGACATATCGGGTCATCACACGTTCGTCCCATGGTATTCACACCATAAGTTGGGATCCCTTTGGCTGGAATCGGATCTCATAGTTCTCGGGAATCATGCCTCTTTAATGTTTCTCATGGCTGACACCAACTCCACTATACTGACATTGAAGTTATATTTTGATAACTTTGGGTAAGAAGGATTTCGAGACCCCGGCGTCTCTTTATCCTGAAGTGATCTATTGTTTCGACCACGATCGGTCCCTCTGTCAATGGTGAACTTGTTTGCCGCCCGAAAGTTTCTGCCACATCCTTCGGTCTGCTCGTAAGGCAAAAACCGATCCCTCGACATCTGTTTGCCCGCATCGTAGTCGTCCTTTGATTTTTCTCTGCTCTTCACCCGACCATTGGCCGATGATGTAGAACCGACCTGGTTATCTTCGATCCTTATCTTTGACTCGCACTGGTTGTGTACATCTGCCCAATTTGTTGCATGATACTCTAGCAGGCTCTCCTTCAGCTTCCAAGAAGTGTCTGAGCTTCTCGGATTCAATCCTTTGGTGAATGCTTCAGCTGCCCATTCATCCAGGACAACCGGGAGAAACATTCTTTCTTTCTGGAATCAGGTAACGAACTCTCATAATAATTCGGATTCTCCCTGTGCAATCCTGAATATGTCGGCCTTCCGGGCTTGTACTTTTCTGGCCCCGGCACGAGCCTTGAAGAAAGAATCTGTGAGCCTCTCAAATGAATCTATAGAATGCTCGGGTAATAATGAATACCACATTAGAGCTCCCCTCGTGAGAGTTTCTCCAAATTTCTTTAGCAACACAGATTCAATTTTGTGAGGAGCTAAATCATTTTCTTTTACTGTCATTGTGTAGGTGGTAATATGCTCCCCTAGTTCTGAAGTCCCGTCATACTTTGGCACTTCAGGCATTTTAAACCGCTTTGGGATTAGTTCTGGTGCCGCACTCGACTTGTACGACAGTTGAATATACCTTTTCGAGTTCGGGCCTTTTAATACTAGTGGCGCGCCTGGGATTTGGTCCATGCAGGCGTTTACTTCCCTTATAAACCGTAAAAGTTCATTATTGAACGTTTCATTCTTGTTGTTGAGACCGGATCCGTTCCCTCCAGCCCCATCAGAGCCAACTTCACCCCTGGGAGTGTTGTTGTCGACTCTCTATGTTGTTTGGTTTGCGGGAACACCGGGAGGAATTGGATCTCGTCTATTTGCATTATTCGAAGCCCCCGATAGAGCCTGCTTCAGCCCCATCATAACTTTATCCTGTCGCATGAGATGGCATAGAATGATCGCATGTTGCTCTTGTAGGACCCTCACCGTATCCATGACATGCTCTTCATCAGCATCATCGGGAATTGTCTCCCGAACCTGTCGAAGGTTCTGCTTGTCATGCACCGGTGTGGCGTCATTCCCCTCATTGCAGGTGTCACTAATTGAATCCACGAAATGAGGTTGATCGCCTCGAATTTTAGGGTTGTGCGTTTTGTTAACAATGTTATCTGCCAGTTTTTGTGATTTTTTCTAAGACAAAATAATCAAATCACGTTAGTAAAAAAGGTAAGGATCAATTCAATTGCACGGCTGTCTAGGCCTCACGGTGGTCGCCAAATTATTTACCCGTAAAACGGTACAATTAAATTTATACGTGGTTTCTAGACAAGTGAACTAACGTGATCCTGAAATAATGCAATAATTGAAGAAATGTACAATACTTAGCCTTAAAATATAGATGAAACAACAGAAATGGCAGTTCCGGGAACACGGTTTCCGGCCACAACAATGATGAGATCAAAAGGCGAAAAAGTAAGATTGTATTAAGCTTTGTATAGAATATATGTAAGTTTAGCCAGAAAATTCGTGTCCTTTACAATGATAACTGGGCTCACTATTTATAGTTGTGTCTAGAGAAGGAGGTCCTAGGATCGTGCCCTCTTTTAATGTCAATTATGAGGGTCATTGATGAAGATGTAACGTTGAACATAAATGCCAAATTCTCTGTAATGGGTCGTCGCTCTTAATGCTGCAGAATATTCCTTATTTAATGCTATCGGGTGCAGAACATTTAATACACCTTTATGAACGTTATCCCTTCAGGTGACGAGCGGAATGACTGCATTCAGTGTTCGGCCATCCCCATTTTAGGTTTCACGTGTCTTTCCTTTAGATAATCACGTGTCATATCATATTTCACCCTATACAGTTTTCTCTGCTATTAGTGGGAAGAGTCATTTGATGGTAGGTTGATTTAATTTCTTTCAGAAAAGTGGTTGTTCTAGATTTTGGCTATTGGTAAGAACACTACAGTTGAGATATCTAGTTTAGAGACTGTTACAGTCGTGAATTAGTTTTTACTATATGTTTTTGGAGGATTATCAGGGTAACCTTCAGAGGAAGAGATCAAGTTTTGCATTAACTTAGTACCAAAAACAAGGCTACATATATATTATGGCATTCGAATCTAATAGCTTTGGCTCAGATCTTGTATTTGTTAAGAAACTCACAAAGTATAAATAGTATCTTCAAATTCAGTAAATCAAATGTGTACTATGTTAAAATCATGAACTCGAATATTTAAAGTTCAAAATCCGGATCTACTTCTGATTATATCCACATGTACCACCTTACACGTACTGACTATAAGATCACTGAGGGGTCGGTTGGTAGGTATATAAGAATAGTATTGTATATGATGTATTAGTAATGCTGTAATTATTTTTTATCGACTCTTTGGTTTGATGCATTAAAGGTTTTGAAATGACAGTTTTTATACATGCTTATTCAGGTATTAAAAACTATGGTATTGTTAATGCCATGATTTGCTATGTATAAGAATAGTACCGAATATGGTGTATAACTAATACAAGTATTTATTAATCATACATGATTTGAAAAATACTATCAAACAAAAAATTAATAATACCAAAACTAATACATATACAGTCACATTTCTCTATAACAATATCCTTATATAACAACCATTCACTATGAAAGTTAAGTTTTCCTTAGAACTGATTTTTTAAGTTATATTTTATCTCTCTATAATGGCTTTTTACCTATAATAGCAACATCCATATTTATAGCAAAACGCTCTTTGTAAAATTACCCCTCTATAACAGCCATAGAATCGTTAAGATTACTAAAAATAATTCTAAAAATATGCACACAATCTTTTCCATTAAACAAAATTTCTATCTTGCATAAGATATAAGATTTGAAGATGTGCACATGATATCTTTTTCATTGGACAAATTTCAAAAAATATTTAGATAGAAAATTTAACTGTTAAGCTCTTAGATTGACTTCAAGGGAAAACTATTAGATACCTTTTGCTAAAAATTTGGATACGAATCTTCGTCATTTTAAGCGTTATATCGCTAGTAAGAGAATGAAATCTACGAAACAAGCTACAATTACAAATTTCTTCCATCAATCTTGAAAAATTTTATTTTTTAGGTACCTTTAAAATGCCTGGATTAAAGTTTAAATCTTTATACTTTTAGTTAAGAATTTATTAATAATGTATTAGCTTTCTCAATATTTAACTAGTGAAATATGCATATCTTTTGTGATTTTAAATTTGAATAATTTTTTTATTTTTTATATGTAGCATTAAAAAAGAAAAAATAATTAATTTTTGAATAATTTTTGTCTATAACAGCCAAAATATTATTTAAACACCAAATGTTGTTATAGGTGTATAACAAATATTAAGTATAAAAACTAAAAAATATCGAAATAAACTAGACTGTTATATAGAGAGTTGATATTTTTCCTAATACATTGATCCTATCAAACGACCCCTGAGTGTCTCGTCTTAGAGAGCACTAGTATAATTTTTGATATTGGTAGTCAGACAATATATGGTTATTATTGATATTGAACCAATTAACAACCTTATTCTTATTATTGTGTTTATTAATCAAAAGATGAAATTAGTATAAGCGAATTATTTAAGAGAGTTATCTATATTCGTGCCTAAAATTTGCCTAACGCTTAAATTAAATTATTAGTGACTAAATTATTAAATTGTTAGTTAAACTTTAAGAGAAGGTTATTCGACTAACTTAGCATGAAGATTTTGGAACAGGTTAAGATATAGTAATTATTGATGATAGAAGATGGACCTAAAAGCTTTCTAGCAGCTTTTGGATTAAAACAGCAAGGCAAGAAAAGGCACGTATGTGATTATTAAAGCCACTCATGGCCTACTTTTGACCAATGAAACAAAATAGTAGATATTTTGGAGCCCAATTCCCTTTATTTTTGTATCTAACACTTGTATCCCTAACATGCAACTTTCTTTTATATCTTAATAATTAATAATAACTGACACTTTGTTACCAATCTTAACAAGAAGAAATGCAAACATATCAGTTGTATAAGGAAGTCAAAACAGAGGGCCATGTAACCTAAACTCAAACATGAAACATGAACTAACAAATGAACTTTAATTACTAAAGTAAAAATGCGAAGAAAAATTTACACTACCCAGTTCGAGATAGACTTAGCAGAATAGAGTTTCAACCACATATGTAAAGAAGAACTGACAATTTAGCTAACTTCTAACAGATTTACATAATAATAACACTAATATGACATTCATCTTGAAACGAAATCAGATCTAACATGTTTCAACAGCCAAACCAAGGTCAAATCCTTTTTATTTTCATCAAGAATCTGCAATATAAAAATTTAAAAGTTACCTGATTTGCAGAATAATAAAATACAGTAGTGCAACAATAGATTTTCAGCAGCAAAGACATTAGAAACAACAATAGGAACATCAGTGAAATTAACAGTGTTAAAGAAGCCCAGAGATCTTAGTAAAACCAGTGATTTTTCAAGAGAAGGAACTCAGAATCAAACTCTAAAACTCTTCTATTTTTCTGAAAGATTATGCACTCCAAGACTCACTCACGAAGCTCACAATTTCAGCTTACTAAGGGAAGCTTCAACCGAAATTTTTCTCTCAAAGTTATGTTCTTTTTTCAGTGAGTAGAGATGTGTATTCTAAGCCCCCCAGAGTGTGTGGAAAGAACCCTCCTTTATAGGAGAGAAGGACTCTTGGGACAAATTTTGTTTAGCTAAAAATTTGTCCAATGAACAGTTTTTCCTCACCAAATCTGGACATCCTTTTGGAGTATTATACTCCAAAATAGTCCTCAACGGTAAAAGCAACCAAACAAAGGCCCTACACTCAAGTACCCCCTTTTCTTTCCCTTTCCTCTTAATCCCTCAAACCAAATTTAAAGCTATCTAGTCCACAAAGAGAAACCAGATTCAATCTAGTTCAAACAACTAGTAATTCGAACAAGATCGGTTAAGAGTTAACTAGTAGGAATCAACAAGACTCAAACATATAACTACCTACTAAACAACTACCTCAAACTTAATCTAGTTAATTAGGATTAACACTAAATCTTTAAACACACAAACTATTAACTCAAACTAAAACATGACAATAGGAAAGACAAACTCGAAACTGCAATCCAATACGTGATTCAAGCCTAAAGAGTGACTAAACATCATGGCCGAACTCCAAATATACTAACATAAGCAAACTGAATTGTTGATTATCAGAATCTAAATTTTAAGCCTATGGACCATCAAAATCAGAAATTAAAGAAGCTAGAATTGACGGATTTGAGATTTCAGTTATAGTCCGGAACTTCAAAATTTTAGTTGAAGTCCGGAGGCATAACAAACATTAAGGCCAACAAACATGTATTTCACATCTAAGTGATTAATATAACTGATTACTAAACGAAAAAATAATGATAGACTAAACGACTAAACAAACTAATACATGATTCGAAAAGTATTGAACAACGACTAATCATCGACGATTGTCAATGAATCTAACACAAACTAACAATTAATTAAAAACTGGAAATCAAACTAAACCTAAACTCAAATGGGGAAAAGCAGAAGTTATGAAAAAGAGGGAAAGGATTGAAGCAATGGCCTAAACGAATGAACATCAACAGAATTCTAGAATCACCAAAAGACGACTAATCACTAATTAAGAAAAAAAAGAACTTAAACTAAACTAAAAATCTAAAAATCAGTCAACAAAGAAGAACATAAAACCGATGAACAAGGGATTAGGATTTTACCCAACAAAGGAATTTGACATTTATTAGAGCAAAGAGACGATGTCGTGAACCTCGAGTAGCGGCTGGCCGACGATGGAACTCTTATTTCATTTCGGTAGACACCAAATTCAATGAGCTCCGTGTTATACCAAAAGGAAACGAGTGTTCTTGGCTCGGAATTAGGCTAAAATAGAGGTTTAGTGGTGGGGCTGTGGTGGTCGCGGCAGTGGGGGTGGCTGGACGGTGGTGGTGCGGCTTTTTGGGGGTGAGATTGGTGATGTTGTGTCATGAAATCAGGTAGAGGAGAGTAAGAGGAGAGCGGGGTGTAAAAAATTTGGAGTTTGGGGATGGTGAGCGGCGTCTAGGGTTTCGTTCTAGGCTACATCTACGGATTTGGAGAGGGTTTTGAAGGTTTTGGGGTGTAGAATAGGTAAGAGGAGAGTGAGGAGAGCACGGTGATGCAAAATTTGTGGTGTTTGGATGGCGTCCGACCGGTGGTGGCGATTTCCGGCCAGCGAAGGTGGGCGGTGGACGGAGAGGGGTAGAGAGAAGAGAGAGTGTGAAGAGAGAGGGAGGAGAAAAGAATAAGGGGAAATGGGGTCAAATTTCAAGCAATGAGATGAACGAACGAGATTGAATCTCACCCAACTAAACAAAACAACGTCGTTTTGTTCCCTTGCTTATCAGAACCACAAATGGATCGGGTTTGACGCGTTTGGGCCACTAATTTGGGGCCAAATTTGGCCCAATTTGGCTAACAATGTAGAAATGGCGTGGGATAGCCACTTTTAATATGGTATTTAGTTTTTATCCAATATTTTTAATGCTGAGCAAAAATAGTCGCTACTCTATTAAAATTAATACAAAAAGAAGTTTTTACCCTTTCTTCATGAGTGCTGTGTAAATATTAAGGACATGGTGTCCTTAACATTTACACTGCACACATGAAGTTAAGGACGCCATGTCCTCAATATTTACATTGCACATATGAAGTTAAGGATATGATATCCTAAAGTTTAACAACGGAAAGTACAAATACAGGACACTTTGTCCTTAATATTTATACAGTATTCATAAAGTTAAGGACACCATATCCTTAATATTTACACAATACTCATAAAGTTAAGGACATTATGTCCTTAACATTTACACTCTACACATGAAGTTAAAGACACCATGTCCTTAACATTTACACTGCACGTATGAAGTTAAGGAAATGATGTCCTAAAGTTTAACAACGAAAGGTGCAAATACAGGATACTTTGTCCTTAATATTTATACAGCATTCATGAAGTTAAGGACACCATGTCCTTAATATTTACACATCACCCATGTCTAGCACAGGGGTATTTTCGTCCGGGCGGGTAAAAAATTATTAAGCACTGGCTAAAAGTAAATACATTTTAAATAGTGCTAAAGAGTAAAGACATCTCTAATTAGTGGCTAACTGTGCACTTCCCCCGCTAACAACACCACTTAGCCCAATCCTTTAGTCCCCTTTAATTAAACTATAATCAACTCCTAAAAACTACACATACACATAATAAACAAAAGAAAATGAAAAGGAAAGAGCAAACTCATTTACGGTGGAAACAATTACCAACAGTAGAAGAATATGACTAAAGCTGGCAATAAAATGGGAGTTGGGTCATTTTGTGCCAAATTTAAGGTCAAATGACCAAGTACTGCCAATTTCCCTTGATTTAAAAAAGAGATCCACAAATTGGGGCATAACTCCTACGGGCCATTTTTCAGTCAACTTCATGTATCGTGCCATAGCCCAAGCTAATCAACAAAAGCTTTCCCCAGTCAACACTTTAAATCGTTCAACTTCTCACAATTGGAGCTGGATTCGGAAACTTCCAATACCTCCAAAAGTGAAAAGTTTTATGTGAATACTACAACACAATAGACTACCAACACAACACTTCCTTCACTCCATTGGCATAATCCCAAGTAACGTTTGCCAATTTTTCCATACAGGACAGGAAACCACTACTCATATTTTTCTACTTTACTGGCACTCAGTGGGGCTTCACACATATACAAAAAGCTTCCAGCACTGGGTGTCTCCAAAAGACTAGCTATACCCACTAATACATTCCAAGCCTCCTAATATACCCCATAAAATCAGCCCTCTTACATATCTTCCACTAAGCTTGTGGAACATTTGGCTCACTCGAAATCGCAACTTGTTCGACCATAAATATTTACAAATCATGCCAACTTTTACGTTGCATCAAGCTATCGAGTTTTCATACTTGGTAGCGTCGAAATGTAAAACGGCCACCAAAATCCACATTGCATTAAGCTGGATTCCACCAAAACCGAATTTCTACAAACTTAACACAGGCGGAGCTCACCCATTAAACACTAACTCCATGGGAATTGGGGGTGTCATTTGTAAAAGCTGCGGCGACTGGATAACGGGATTCAATCCCTACTTCTAATAGCCTAACAGCTGAGTTACAAGCATTACTTCAAGGGCTTATAATAGCTGTACAACTTCAACTAATGCCAATCGAAGTCGAACTAGACGCTAAGGAGGTAATCACTTTATTGGCAAAAGAACATCTGTTATACACTAACATACTATCTGATTGCAGGCACCTCCTCCAGCTACTCCATGATCCATCAGTTCTTCATACATACAGAGAATAAAATAGTGTTGCAGATCAACTAGCAAAATATGGCAGCCAAATGGATAGTTCAGCTGCTACCACAGTTTTTGAAGCACCACCACTTTTTGTTTCACAGCGACTACATGCAGATAAGCAAGGACTAACTACACAAAGAACAGTCCCTTCAACAGCATGGAATGAGGCAGCAAACATGGTTACAAGTACCCTTTTTGTCCAGTAATCGGAAGCTGCGTCCGTGGAAAGAAATCTTTTTTTGGACCCTAGTTTGGTAGAACAACCTCCACGACCCATTTGTAATTGAACTTCTGAATTAGTTGCTACCTCTAGTACTACTTTACTTTGTAATATGGTGCCTAGGCATCAACACCTCTGTACGCATATGTTTTAATTAATGCAAGTTATCTTTCCAACCAAAATAAAAAATGTTTTTTCTATAGCGCATCCCATTAATATGTTTTTAGTTCAATGTTAAGGGCATTATCTATAAAAGCAAACTGACTTTAATTGTATAGTTAAAATTGCATTGGCATTAAAATTGTTGAGCAAATTCTGATCTAATTATTTTATATATGATAAATGTCAAAAGTGAGAATATAAATCATCAAGTATGTACATATTAGTTTGTCTTTCAACATTAAAATAGTTAATATAATAAATTGTGTAACTTTAGGTTGATATAAGTTGATGTTGTAAGAAGTACTTCAGTTGAGATAATAATAGAATATATTTTTTTTGTAATTTTAATTAAGATATTACTAAATATATTTTTATTAATTATCATTTAATATAATATTATTTATTTTTGAATCGTATTATATTTTTGTTTGTTTGTATCATCGACCATATATGAAATTATAATATTTAAGTTTCTGCCAATAGTTAATCATATAATATTTTTTAATTTATAAAATTTAGCAGGATCACAATATTATCCGCACATCGTACGGGTACAAATACTAGTATAACTGGAAAGAGAAAATCTCAATGGTATAAATTCAAACCTCATGTATAAATAGTACCGTTTGTATGAGATGCTGTTTTCCCAAAATAAAAAAACTAAACAGAAATTCAATATTTTAGGAAAATATCTCTATACCTTCGTAACTATTTTGAAAATGACTAAATTAAACTAACGACGTAATATATTATAATATAGCAGTATAAAGTAAAAACGATAGCCATAAAAATTACGTAAAAGTACAATTAAAAGGAAGAGTAGTACGTTTCTGGATATTATATGAGGGAGAGGTATAATCAGAAAATTAACTTAAAAAACAATTAGGAAAAAGAAGAAGGTTTAAAGTGACAAATGTCATAGGACTCAAAAGACATATGATCATTGAGTTAATTATTATAAAATGATCGAATGAATCATGCTACTGAGGCTGCTAAGGAAGATAAGTTTAACTTTATCATTTTTAATGAAAGGTTTAGTAGTTGATTAACAGCATACCTTATGATGATTATTTTATCTTTTACAACAAAATAAAAAAAAGGAAGAAAACAAAAATAAAAAGGATATGAATGTCGGAAGAAACGGTATATTGTGTGTCCATCTCTAGAACTATCAAACTTAATTATAGCTATAGGCACTTTAGTATTTTGTGATATAACTAATAACTTACTACGGAGTAAATTTTTAGCTTACGATATTTACAATATTGTTGCGGAAAAATTGTTTATTAGGTACCAAAAGAAAAGTATGTTTCCCTAAGGATTACACCGAATTTACTTAATTCTTCTACACACCTAAACACATAGACGGATCTAGGATTTAAACTCTATGGGTTCAATCTCTAATTATTTTTGCATTGAACCCATTAGATTTTAAAGTTATGAGTTCATATCTACTATTTGTTGTAATCTTAATAAATTTCTACACATAAATTATGCTCCGCGTAAAAAACTGGATTCAGGTGAACCTGATACCATAAAGCCGGATACGCCCCTGCCTAAACATATTAACACGACTTTACAATGAAAAATACGACATTGTTCTTCCTCATATACTTCCTCATATACTTCAATGCATTAGAGGTGGATGCTCCATGCTTTCAGAGCTAGGATTTTAAGTATATCGATCCTAAATTATAGAAAAGATAGGTTAATAGGTTCTAAATAAATTATTTATACATATTAAGTGAATATTTTTAGGACAAATACATAATAAATAATGAACTCTGCCGAACTCGTAAACGTAACTGTAGCTTCACCCTTCATTTGTTCAATGAAACCCATCATTTTCAATTAGAGAGAGTGTGTGGTGTGTATATATATATATGAATTTACATGCGAAAAATTATTAAAATATTAATAAATGTTAAATTTTGAACTCATGATTTCATAAGTCCAATGATTTAGCTGCAAAACTTTAAAAATTAAATTTATCAAATTTAAATTCTAAATTCTACCTCCGTGCAAGTATATATTACTCCTGTTACTATGAAGAAAGAAGTCAATCTCTCGTAAAAGAACAATTGAATATGTTTTTTCCCCTTGTTTTCTTTAAAAGCCTAGTGATACTTGTCCAATTGTACTAAGTGTGAGGTTCTGAATTTGATGATGACTAAAACAAAAAGACTACACTAATGAATCTACAATGTGCACAAGACTACCGATCAAAGGAAAAGAAGGAAAGTGCACCAGAGACGAAAGAAACACTTGGAGTCCAGTGGCTACCTCATTCAAATCTATCACATGCATATCACATGCATACAAAAAGGAAAAGGAAATCGGCTAAACTAACGGAAGATTCTCATAAAAGCAAAGAAGGTAAGGGAATCAATCAAAGGCGCAAAATCAATGGAAGTTTCAAACTCAATGATCAGGAAGATTAAAAGAGACTCCATCTATCAAGGATGAATCTGGCTATACTTCGCACTACAGATTCAAGAGGCTACCTTTGGGTCATACTCTTAGAAAACTCTACCTCAAAAGGAAAATCACATCATAAAT